GCCGGCACTGTGCGCTGGCAGCCCAGAGAGCAAATCATATCCTGGGCTGTATCAAAAGGAGTGTGGCCAGCAGGTCGAGGGAGATGATTCTGCCCCTCTACTCATCTCTCGTGAGACCCCACCTGGAATACTGCGTTCAGCTCTGGGGTCCTTGACACAAGAAGGACATGGAGCTGTTGGAGCGAGTCCAGAGGAGGGCCACAAAGAGGATCTGAGGGCTGGAGCACCTCTGCTATGAAGACAGGCTGAGAGAGTTGGGGCTGGAGAAGAGAAGGCTCCGGGGGGATCTTATAGCAGCTTTCCAGTACCTAAAGGGGGCCTACAGGAAAGCTGGAGAGGGACTTTTTCCAAGGGTGTGTAGTGATAGGACAAGGGGCAATGGCTTTAAACTGAAAGAGGGGAGATTTAGATTAGATATAAGGAAAAAATTTTTCACTCAGAGGGTGGTGAGGCACTGGAACAGGTTGTCCAGAGAAGTTGTGGATGCCCCATCCCTGGCAGTGTTCAAGGCCAGGTTGGATGAGGCTTTGGGCAACCCGGTGTAGCGGAGGATTTCTCTGCCCATGGCAGGGGGCTTGGAACTAGATGATCTTTAAGGTACCTTCCAACCCTAATCATTTTATGATTCTATGATTCTATGAATTAATGAACTCTGTGAGAAAAGGACATGCTGATGCTCAGGAAAGTGATGCCCTTAACTGGGAACACCAGCATGGCTAGATAGTGGTCAGCTAAACACAACAGTACTTTCAATTACCTGTGCTCAAAGTTAAACACATATTTCAGGGATCCGTGCTTCTAACATTAAACAGAATACAAAAGTCAACGTCTCCCTCCAGCTAAACCCTGAATTTTTAAACTAACAGTCTGAAAACCATTTTAAAAGTGACAGATTATGTATTTAATCACATCATTTAGTGGCAAATACTAAAGCATCCCGTCCCGATTGGTTTACAATGTAAGCAGATAATACACTATTAAGAATTAATTTGGGGGAAGGTTAATGGCAAATACCATGTCGATTCTTAAAAAAATTCTACGAATGATTCAGGGAACAGGCCACTACTAGGCAAAGTGGGAAAACCAGAATAAAAGCAGAATTGTCAAGCACCTGATCTGACACATCGAAAAAAAAAAAAAAAGAAAAAAAGGTAGTTTGTAGGGAGGGAAATCCTACATGAGAAATCTGGTGTAAATTGGAAGCCATGTGAGTAAGACAGATCCAGTGGACAAACCATATGTGGACTTTCAGACGTCTTTTGACAGTAGTCCTGCATGAAATCTCTTTTGAAAACTAAGCAGCCATAATCTAAAAGGAAGGCCTTTGCATCTGTAAGCAATTGGTTAAAAGACAGGACACAGATGTTAACAGTCAGTTCTCACCATGAAGGGTGATCATCAAAGCTGCTCAACATAACCATTACCAAATAAGAAAAAGGTCTAAGCTGTAAGATGACAAACTTTATTGAAAATACTAATTCAGAGCAACAGTGGCAAGAAGAAGCGCTGTAACTCTTCTGCCTGGTAAAAACAGAACTGAATGAGATTATCATAAGCAATCCACAAAATTAAGCATGGCATAGAGAGGATGAACAAACATTATTCCTCTGTCTCTTCTAATTCAAGAACTGGGACAATCAAGTGAAGCTACTTGTTGTTTGAAAAGAGTTTCAAAACAAACAACAGAAGGTGGTGCTTCACACAATGCAGTGTTAAATTTTGGAGCTCCTTGACACAGTAGGATGAGGATGCCAAAAGTACACAAGGATACACAGGGGAAACTAGACAACCTCATTGAAAAGAAATCCACTGATGATGCTAAATACAGAACACACATCTAGCTCTTGAAGCCCTCTAAACAGCAAATGTTTTCAGACATTCTCTTTTAGAGAAAGAGTTGCCATATGTTTGATCTCTAATCCCTCCTCCCTAATCCTTTGTATTTGGCTACTGTGAGAAGCTGGACACTGGGCTGGGTGAATCTTTTATCTGAGCTAGCTCAGTCATCCTTGCATTAAACGTGAAAGAAAAATGGTTGTTAAATTTTCAAGCCCCTCAAAACATGTATATAGGCTGATACTCTAGTGAGTTAGGATGTACCATTTTCATGGTGAGGTTTAAATTACCGTAACGTATCTACAACTTCTGCTTTTACCTATAGTGCCAGAATCCCAGATGGATTTATACTGTACCTTTTTGTTCAGTGCTTTCCTCCTCATTCACCAGGAAAGCCATGTGGTAATTACCAACTTTTTCTGGGTACACCTTCTCCAGCTCACAAACAGAGGGATAATGGGTGACAAACAGTGTCAGTGACTCCACCTGCAACAATGAAACACACACATAAGAAGGTTTGGCTTTTTTTTTTTTTTTTAAACACATAAGCATAGCGCTGATATCCTTTATCCATACCCCTTTGCTCTGAGTTTAGACAAGCCACATTTCTACAAGGAAAAACACATCATGTCAAAGTCAGCCTACCATACATAGTAAAGGCTGAAAGAGCATTCACAAGCATGTGTGAGATCGAACACTTACATCTCTAATAAAATGTTCGAGTGTAGCATAAGCAATAGCAATTCCATCGTGGGTGCTAGTTCCTCTTCCCAATTCATCCAAAATTACTAGTGATCTTGAAGTTGCTTTTTTTATTATCTCAGCAGTATCTGTTAGTTCTTCCATAAAGGTACTTCGGCCTTTGTAAATGTTGTCTGCTGCACCCATTCTGCATTGGGATACAAAACAGATCAATTTATTAAGTTCAAATAAATGTCAGAAAACACTTGGGGGGAAAAAAATAATCATGATAATGAAACCATTTTGTTACAAATCTCTTCTTGCTGCTCCAAGCAGAGCAGAAAAACCCAGGCAGAACATTCACCTTCCAGAACAACCTACTGCTTAGGGAAAAAACGCAACAACAGCACATGGTGCAGATGTGAGGGTACTCTAAAAGACTGAAAGGTCCAGCAGGAACAGCTCATGTACCATTGAATAAGGGTTTGCATGCATTCCCCAAGGCAACATGGTATACAAGCCCTATGGGAATATGGTGAGGTTAGACTGTAGGGACAGCAGAGACTTTTTCTGGGCTATGAGAAATCTAGTCCCAAGATAAATCCATAGACAGAAATCCGAGCATCCCATGTCAACTACAGGAATCGGGGAAAAAAGAGGAGACAGACAAGGGAGCATTACTTAGCATACAATTCTTCCGTCTTGACAAACTTTACAAGGTGGTCTGCTCTTCCCTTAAAAAATACCCTGGGAATTCAGACCAGTCAGCACACTAGAGGGATTCCAGCAAAGGTAGCTGTGAAAATGAAGTTTACTTTTTTGTTTTAGTTTGAACATCTAATTTGTATATTTTTAAATGCTAACAACACCTGAAAGTATCAGATATTAGAATTTCCACATAGAGATAGAGAAGACACTCATGGGACCAGATATTTGTGCATTCAGAAACAGCAGTTAGTTCCTTCAGGCAGTAACAAGTAACAATTATTTCCCCTAATTCCACAGGTACACAATCTTACTAGCAGGCTCAAACACGATTTTAAGAGAAAGATTTCTCTCCTCATCCTTTTACACTGTCCTTGAACTTCCCAGTTTCCATGCAGGTGAGTTTCATCTCTGCTCCATGCACACACATGCAGATGCACACACAAATCACCTCATGTTTCATACAAGTCATTCAGCATGATTTCAGATTCATGCAACCTTCAATTCTAAAATTCTATCTCAAATTCTGAAATTGCAGTTTTCATCTCAGAAATCTGCTGGTAATTCACCCTGTTTTTCTCTTCCGCAGTTTTCCTTACCTATTCAATTAATACGCTTTCCACCTGTAAAAAAGAACATTCCCTTTTCCACATATGCACTTCAATTACATTAACCACACTACCATATTCCTTCTGAGACAGGTTATCATTACTAAGACACTGAGTAGGGCTCTAAAAAAATTGATTTGTTCACTTTCATCAGCCAATAATAGTTACATACAAGCCACACTGCTGTAAGGAAAACTGACTCAATGGGTTTAGCATTTTACATTTTCAGACACAACAGCTGGCCACAACAGTATTTAAAGCCAATCAAAACTTTTAAAGAGAATCCCAATATAGCTTTTTTTCCTCTCAGTCTGTTGCTGCATCTCTCTCTAACATAATTGCTTCTGTTGCCTACAGAAGCACTAGCAAGATACTCATCCTTTTATGAGGATCTTATGATTGTCAAGAGTAACTGACTACCAATATCAAAACCTAGCAGGTTGGACAGGGTACAATTATGATTTCTATATATTTGCTAGTTACTGCACTGGAAATTTTGTATGGTGGCATGCATAACTTCACAAAATGCAAATCTTCAATTATAAATGTACTAATTTTGGTTGGAGATGGGCATTATGACACAATAAGCAAATTGAGTGGTTTTATTTCCTTGAGTTTCTGCTCACATACACACACGGCAGGTACCCTTCCACATAATTAGGAAGAAAGGTGATTTTGCATGTAAGTTAACTAAATTTTACATTCATTTCACTGAATCAAATATGTAATTCAGGATATTGAAGCATTGTTAAATTAACATTTTATTAAGCCATTTACTACTGTCATCCTTTTAAATGCTGGGTTAAGAACTTTGAATACATTACTGAATTTCTCACAGTGGCCCCAACACGCCTCAGCCCCTTTACTAGTTTGGTTCAGCTATCATGCACTACTGTAAAAATCAAACAATCTCCCTTTATTGCAATATTGCACAGATCTACAGAGAGCAATATAAAATCCATCTATTTTTAACACTATTTAACTACAACTAAGTTCACTAGAATGACAAATACTTTTTATGTTCAGACAATCTCTGGGTCCATAATGGGCAACTTTAACCTTAGTTTCTGACCCTAAGATTACTAGTATTATTATTTTATCATTTTTATTTGGTTTTCATTACTGAGATAGCATCTAACAGGCTGTCTGTTCTGCACCTATGATGATTATACTGAGAGTTCTCAGTTCTATTTTTCTCTTGGATTGCATCTTTTCCACAGACCCCTCAAAATCATTTAGACATTTTGCATCTTGCATGCATTCATGAAAATAATTTTCAGAACTTCCTCACTAAATGCTCAAGATACAAACAAAAATTAGTATTATCTTTCTTTTGTTGTAAACTACAGCTGCAAAAGAAGCCTTTCTTTTCAGCATCTTAAAACATTCAAATCCGAGTCAGGCTTATCTACATATTAAAAAAAAAACAATGTGTATTTTTAAATGACATAAAAACTCCTAAATGTCATCTGTTCAAAATGGATAAAATTGTTCTTTCTGCCCCTGCCACTGACATTAGAAGAATCGTACTTGTTTTTTAAACTTATGTGATAAGAAATATTATCTCAGAAACAAGTAAGAATAACTATTTTAATGCGGACGATTGCATTTATAAAACTAACAGTTAATATGCAGCAAGGCATTGCTCCCTAACTGTATGCTGTATTATTCCTGATACAATGAAGTTTGAGTCAAAACACCTATTGCTTAAACAATTCTTTTTCTTCAAGTTTAAAACAGCTGTAATAAATCCCACTAACCTTCTACAAGATTCAGTTGCTTTGAATTTACATTTTAATGTAGCTTGCCTCCTAAATGTTTTTATACATCAAAATATTAAACTTTTCCTATAACATTCAATAGAATCCAGATGACCTACCGTTGTTGGCAGCTACTCTATAGATAATACCTGAGATGCTATCTCTATGAATTGTTAGGGTAAAAACGCTAGAAGAAATGTTACAGATCCTCATCTTAGCCTTAATGCCGCCACCATTTAAACTACTTTTTTTGTCTGCCTTTTTTTTTTGTTTCTACACATCATCCTAATAAACTCTCCAAGACTCACCTTCTCTGGAAAGCTGCCTACAATGGGATCAGATATTTTTCCAACTTTTATATGTACACAAAAATGACTATTTGATTACATTTTAAAGCTGCATTCATCAGTACAGTAGATGACAATATAGTGAAATATGTGAAGAGGTACGAGTCGTCCCTGTGTGACACAGACATATTACGCACTACTCAAATTTTCTTTTCTTCCATCTCCCTATTAAAAAAAAAAAAAGCACCCAGGAAAAAAGGTTGCAACAGAATAAGACAGTCACAAAAGCAAACCATTAGAGCAAGAACAATGCCATCCAGCTTCAGTAGCTCTATTCCTCTATTTGTTAAAACACCAGCCGCTGGAAGTAGTGGCACAGTTAATACAAAACCTTCCATTTCTGCTAAGGAATTTCTAATATCTACATTCAGAAAGATTACTGCATTCTGCCCACAAGAAGCATGCAGACATCCAACATGAGGAGTGCCTCTTTAGTGCTGGCAAGAGATGTACCACTGCTCAGCAAATGCAATTTGGCTGAAAACCACTTGTTATAATGTCTCTGACAGTCAACCAGATTTCATAAAATTAAAAGCTCTTCATCTTATAATGTTCAACACATTTAGTATGTAAAGGGGAAAAAAAAGAGGAGGCATTATCTCCTTTCAGTGTTAGGTTTCAAGTGCTAAAGACTCCTGTCTATAACCTCAGAAAAAACAACAGGGAGGCAATGTTTTTATAAATTAATTTTTGGAGGGTATGTTAGGTGATATGCAGCAGTAGCTAGCTTTATGTAAACCAGCTAGCACTACATGCTTAACCTGTATGTGACCTCTTAGAAAGATAGGTACAGATTTCCTTACTCTGCAGGAGCAGTATTCAAGCGGGTGGTTTTTTAATCTGCTTTCCTGAGTCAAAACATGCAGAGAGTACTGACATTTTCCAATGCAAGTGCTCATCATCCTGGGAAGTTATCCTATGATATTTTGTTCTGTAAGGCTTTATAAACATTGGGATTTTTTTTTAATAATACAAGCTATGATAGCACTCAGAAACCACTAGAATTAAATAGCATAATTTTTTTCCTTGCATCTCAAGAACTTTTATGTAGTCAGTATCCATTTAAACTCGCTCTCAACAGGCACAAACTAACGTCGCTGAACTGTGTGGCCCTGAAAGTTACCTCGAAGTCTGGTGCTTTTAAGCTTTTGATCGGCTAGACAAGTCTGAGGGCTTTGACAGCCATCAATTAAAAAATTGAATGGAAGGAGGAAATTTAAACCGAGGCCACTGAGGTCTTGGACCTGCTTCTCTCAGAATTCTGTTACTACTGCTATCAAAAAACCAAAGTGTCCTGGAGAAAGAGACAGACTTGCAGACTTGATGTTTAACAGTTTTAACAAAAGAATAACCCAAGACATCGTTTCTGAGCGGAGCAGAGACTCTCCCAGAGAGCTGCAGCTGCTCTGTGCTAGCAGTACAGGGGTGAAAGTGATGACGTAGGTTTAAACAGAAATTGCCCTACTATGACAGAAGGCAGTGAAAAAAAATTAATTTCCCAAGCAGAAAAATGAATCTGAAATCTAGAAGCTTCTAGTCAAGCCTTTTTCCATGCTACCTTTCAAAAGAAGTTATCTGTCATGCTGTTAGTTGGTTTGGTTACACAACTAAGACCACCATGCAGATCTCAGGTATTTTATTGTTCTTTTATGCTAGTGTGAATCCCTCACACTGCACGTGAAAATGACCAAGCAGCCCCAGAACTCCCAGCGGTAACAAAAAGCAACTACATAGCACTGAGAGAATCCTAGAAAACAAGACTGCAAAACCATTCCCTAAAGCCTTATT